GCAGGCGACGCCCACGAGTGTCACTCCACATTCCAAGAAAAAGAACAACAAATATTGCTGGCACATATTCCACACAATACTTATACACATTGTAAATGGCTGCCATTCGCTGAACGCTGTCTTGCTGAGCAGTATACTTCCCTGAATCTAAGTTTTCACACACTGCCGCATCATATTTGTAATAAGTGAGACATACTTTATCAATAACGAGGTTGGTATAGAAAATGCTCTCTATGCTTATTCCCAGACTATGAAGGAATACTGCTGGCTCCACAGTAACAGTGGCCAAGAAGGTGGTCAGCCTAGCACAGGTACTGTTATTAGGGGTCTGGTTCTCCTTCACAAGAAGGCTTGCGTACTCACTACTGCGACCCATTACTACCGCTCTCTTAATTAAATTGCTGTACACATTCAGGCCCACATCTTAACTCAGTTAAATTTTTCGAAAGATATATTCAGTAAGCTACAGCAACATAGTGGCCATTTTTCTATTAATATTTCAACCACACGACCTACAGAGAAGTCAGTCAAGTTTATCGAAAGATATCTTCAGTAAATTGCATCAGCAATTTGGCTTCTTTCTATCAATATTTCAACCACAATGTATACAGTTTTTGTCTCCTGAATATATAAATGCAAAATGTTGTATCAGCCAGGAAAACAGGTGTAGTTCTTGTAACAGCAGTCAGGTTATGTCCGGACGTCGCCGAATCACAAAATGTCTGGCAGATTTAGATTTTGTATCACAAAATACGGATCAGTATGAACTCTATTGTTTACAGGTAAAAATGATAATATATCTCGTTGGGTCACAAGATAAAGACTTGTTATGAATCACTATCTTAGCGGCATCACCCGACCCACCTAAACTGTAAGTGTAAAACTCCAAAATTTTATCGAGCAAACATATATCTTAACGTGATTTTATCCCAATATAAACGGTGAAATTAAGATTACAAAACATTATTTTAAGACAATCGATGTTCAACAAATATTTTAGATATACAAATACAAATATTTGTAAACGCATTTCATTTTGCATTGCGTTTATTTTTAGTTGTTATCGGATATTGTTGTCGTAGATGGTGTGCGTCATTCACCTCTTGTGGCAGATATGGAAACAATCAAAGTGCATGAATATTATGGGAATGACTCCTCCAAGGTTACCCATCACTATCTGCTCCATGTTGACGCCCCTTGTGGTCTGATGCCTCATATGCTCTTGTTGCAATTTACTTTCACCTATATTAACTGCTTTTCATAATTCTCATAAAAATTAAGTTGTGGAGAACGTCGTCGCAAATCTGTAAGGATGGCCAAAAACAAGGTATAGTTTAACATGCTAAGGTCAAAAAAAAGTGAGAAAATATGTTGTATATTTATTATTATTATTATTATTATTATTTTATTATTATATTATATATATATATATATTATATATATATATATATATATATATATTATATATATATATATATATACATAGAGAGAGAGAGAGAGAGAGGGAGAAACAGAGATAGATCGCAGTCAGCAGGACTCGATCCCACTATATATGTACAGTATATTTTATATATATATATATATATATTATATATATATATATATATATATATATATATATTATATATATATATATATATATTATATATATATATATGTCGTGCCGAATAGGCAGAACTTGCGATCTTAGCTTAAATAGCAACGTTCATCTTGCCATATAGGATAAGCGAAAATTTGTGTATGGAATAATTTCGCCAAAATCATTCTGAACCTAACGAAAAAAATATATTTCACTGTGTTTGTTTAGTATTAAATTATTGTAAACAAATCTAAAATATATTTATTTGGATTAGGCTAAAATAAATTGTTCTTGTTATAATAAGGTTAGGTAAGTTTTCAAAGATTCTTTTGGAGCAAAATTAAAAATTTTTGCATTATCATTAATGAAAAAAATATATCTTTAAACGTATAAGAGAAAATTTTAGAAAGGACTTAATTTTAAATGAGTTCTTGCTAATTAACCAGTTTTACATATTCGGCACGACATATATATATATATATATATATATATATATATATATATATATATATATATATATATATATATATATATATAATATATATATATATATTATGTATGTGTGTGTGTCGATAATTACATGCAGTTTCTGGAATTCATCAGTTGCCTCTTGGCTTTTTGTGATACTTGCAAAGTGTTGAGACCGCAAAAGTTGAGATTTTTTTTATAGGTTTAAAGCCTATCGACTGCAGGAGGGTCATTAAGGCTGTAATTCCTCAAGAAAACTTTAATATTTAAAATTGGGATTAACATTCACTGAGATATACAAACCTCTTTGTAATGCATACACTGAGATATACACCTATCAGTGTACATCCACAGAAATATAAACCTCTGTGTATATACCTTCACAAAAATTGAGGAATGAGCTTGGTTGGTAAGGGAAGGAAGGGGATGGAGTTAAACTTAGTTCTGTCAGTCAGTGAGTCAGTATTATTGGTGTAGAGCTGCAGTAGCTACTGGTTGTCAAAAGTACTTGTTGACAGACACATAGCAGTGCTTCACACCACCTGGTGACCCTCTCTGGAAATGCTGACCGCCTCGCCCAAGACAGTAAAGTTGCGTGAAAGGTGAAGGTACGTAGCTGCCATATAACATCAAGTACCATCATTATTGATCGTGACCTCCTCCGTGGGATCACTGGACCTTGACGATAACACACACCTGTAAGATCACACAATAGTAAACATGGGAAAGGTAGATAACAGAGGAATTGGACGTCCACGCCGACACTCTCTAGATTTAAAAACTACTGTGTATTATGTATGTGTATGAGTCATTGATAGAAGCAGATTCTCTCTCTCCTCCCTCCGCCCGCTGCCAGTATGAAAATAGGGGAAAAAATATACCATACCATATTGAAAAATGGCATTAAATTTATAGGAGAAAGGGCAGTAGATGGAAAGCAGGGCTACAACTACCTCAATTTTATTGGTTCTGTTTCTGTCTTAACTATTCGTGTTACTTCACTGCCACTTACAGAACTGTGTGCCAGTAGTTCAGCTTCTGGTTACCACCGGTTCTGCTAAGACAAACACAGCCACCTACTTCTACCACTACTAATATTATTATTAACTTGGTTCCCTCACTGTCAACTGATCGTTCTGACGCAGATGCTGAACATCGGGAATCCGTTGACCACAGATTGCCTCAGCGCAGTATCTGCATAAATCCTTTATTTATAAAGTGCTTGTCGAGCTGGTTCTTCAATGGCGGTATCTTTGTGCTAACAACTGCAACGGGTAATTTATTCCGTTTGCAATCACACTTCAAAGTATTACCCACACCAACTGAATTACAAAGAACAAGCATACTGACCACAAGAGTACGAGTCAGAGCAACACTAAACTAGACAACAATTTTAGCAGTTTGTAAATCACCAATAAACTCATCATAGCACAACATCAATAGAACAATCTTTTTTATCTTTGCAAATATACAGAGCATAAAACAAAGAAATGTATAGTACAATGCATACAATAAACCAAAATGGTATGTTTGGAGCCTTGAAAACCCACACTTATGAGTTCTTAAACAGTGAAATATGGATCCCATTTTAGTTTGTGTGTGTGTGTGTGTGTGTGTGTGTGTGTACTCACCTAGTTGTGGTTGTAGGGGTCGATTCAAAGCTCCTGGCCACGCCTCTTCACTGACCGCTACTGGGTCACTCTTCCTGCTCCATGAGCTTTGTCATACCTCTTCTTAAAGCTATGTATGGATTCTGCCTCCACTACATCACTTCCCAGACTATTCTACTTCCTAACAACTCCGCGACTTAATAAATACTTCCTAACATCCCTGTGATTCATCGGAGTCTCCAACTTCCAAGTGTGACCCCTTGTTGCTGTTTCCCATCTCTGAAACATTCTGTCTCTGTCCACTTTGTCGATTCCTCTCAGTATTTTATATGACGTTATCAAATCTCCTCTATCTTTCCTGTCTTCCAGTGTCGTCAGGTCGATTTCCCTTAACCTCTCCTCGTAGGGCAAACCCCTTAGCTCCGGGACTAGTCTTGTTGCAAACCTGTGCACTTTTTCTAGTTTCCTTACATGCTTGACTAGATGTGGGTTCCAACTGGTGCTGCATACTCCAATATGGGCCTAGCATACACAGTGTACAGGGTCCTGAACGATTCCTTATTAAGATGTCGGAATGTTCTTTGGTTTACTAGGCGCCCATATGCTGCCGCAGTTATTTGGTTGATGTGCGCCTCAGGAGATGTGCCCGGTGTTATACTCATCCCAAGATCTCTTTCCTTTAGTGAGGTTTGTAGTCTCTGGCCCCCCTAGATTGTACTCCGTCTGCGGTTTTCTTTGCCCTTCCCCGATCTTCATGACTTTGCACTTGGTGGGGTTGAACTCCAGGAGCAAGTTGCTGGACCAGGCCTGCAGCCTGTCCAGATCCCTCTGTAGTCCTGCTTGGTCCTCCTCTGATTGAATTCTCCTCATTAACTTCACATCGTCTGCAAACAGGGACACTTCTGAGTGTCCCTGTTTGCAGCAGAGTTGTGTGGGAGAGCCATGCAAAACCCGTAGGGGTCATGCAGTGTCTGGGTATATATATATATATATATTATATATATATATTATATATATATAATATATATATATATATATATATATATATATATATATATATTATATATATATATTTATTATTATTATTATTATTATTATCACACTGGCCGATTCCCACCAAGGCAGGGTGGCCCGAAAAGAAAAAACTTTCACCATCATTCACTCCATCACTGTCTTGCCAGAAGGATGCTTTACACTACAGTTTTTAAATTGCAACATTAACACCCCTCCTTCAGAGTGCAGGCACTGTACTTCCCATCTCCAGGACTCAAGTCCGGCCTGCCGGTTTCCCTGAACCCCTTCATAAATGTTACTTTGCTCACACTCCAACAGCACGTCAAGTATTAAAAACCATTTGTCTCCATTCACTCCTATCAAACACGCTCATGCATGCCTGCTGGAAGTCCAAGCCCCTCGCACACAAAACCTCCTTTAACCCCTCTCTCCAACCTTTCCCTAGGCCGACCCCTACCCCGCCTTCCTTCCACTACAGACTGATACACTCTTGAAGTCATTCTGTTTCGCTCCATTCTCTCTACATGTCCGAACCACCTCAACAACCCTTCCTCAGCCCTCTGGGACAACAGTTTTGGTAATCCCGCACCTCCTCCTAACTTCCAAACTACGAATTCTCTGCATTATATTCACACCACACATTGCCCTCAGACATGGCATCTCCACTGCCTCCAGCCTTCTCCTCGCTGCAACATTCATCACCCATGCTTCACACCCATATAAGAGCGTTGGTAAAACTATACTCTCATACATTCCCCTCTTTGCCTCCAAGGACAAAGTTCTTTGTCTCCACAGACTCCTAAGTGCACCACTCACTCTTTTCCCTCATCAATTCTATGATTCACCTCATCTTTCATAGACCCATCCGCTGACACGTCCACTCCCAAATATCTGAATACATTCACCTCCTCCATACTCTCTCCCTCCAATCTGATATTCAATCTTTCATCACCTAATCTTTTTGTTATCCTCATAACCTTACTCTTTCCTGTATTCACCTTTAATTTTCTTCTTTTGCACACCCTACCAAATTCATCCACCAATCTCTGCAACTTCTCTTCAGAATCTCCCAAGAGCACAGTGTCATCAGCAAAGAGCAGCTGTGACAACTCCCCACTTTGTGTGTGATTCTTTATCTTTAACTCCACGCCTCTTGCCAAGACCCTCGCATTTACTTCTCTTACAACCCCATCTATAAATATATTAAACAACCACGGTGACATCACACATCCTTGTCTAAGGCCTACTTTTACTGGGAAATAATTTCCCCTCTTTCCTACATACTCTAACTTGAGCCTCACTATCCTCGTAAAAACTCTTCACTGCTTTCAGTAACCTACCTCCTACACCATACACTTGCAACATCTGCCACATTGCCCCCCTATCCACCCTGTCATACGCCTTTTCCAAATCCATAAATGCCACAAAGACCCTTTAGGCCTTATCTAAATACTGTTCACTTATATGTTTCACTGTAAACACCTGGTCCACACACCCCCTACCTTTCCTAAAGCCTCCTTGTTCATCTGCTATCCTATTCTCCGTCTTACTCTTAATTCTTTCAATAATAACTCTACCATACACTTTACCAGGTATACTCAGCAGACTTATCCCCCTATAATTTTGCACTCTCTTTTATTCCCTTTGCCTTTATACAAAGGAACTATGCATGCTCTCTGCCAATCCCTAGGTACCTTACCCTTTCCATACATTTATTAAATAATTGCACCAACCACTCCAAAACTATATCCCCACGCTTTTAACATTTCTATCTTTATCCCATCAATCCCGGCTGCCTTACCCCCTTTCATTTTACTACTGCCTCACGAACTTCCCCCACACTCACAACTGGCTTTCCTCACTCCTACAAGATGTTATTCCTCCTTGTCCTATACACGAAATCTCAGCTTCCCTATCTTCATCAACATTTAACAATTCCTCAAAATATTCCCTCCATCTTCCCAATACCTCTAACTCCCTTTTAAATAACTCTCCTCTCCTATTTTTAACTGACAAATCCATTTGTTCTCTAGGCTTTCTTAACTTGTTAATCTCACTCCAAAACTTTTTCTTATTTTCAACAAAATTTGTTGATAACCTCTCACCCACTCTCTCATTTGCTCTCTTTTTACATTGCTTCACCACTCTCTTAACCTCTCTCTTTTTCTCCATATACTCTTCCCTCCTTGCATCACTTCTACTTTGTAAAAACTTCTCATATGCTAACTTTTTCTCCCTTACTACTCTCTTTACATCATCATTCCACCAAATGCTCCTCTTCCCTCCCGCACCCCACTTTCCTGTAACCACAAACTTCTGCTGAACACTCTAACACTATATTTTTAAACCTACCCCATACCTCTTCGACCCCATTGCCTATGCTCTCATTAGCCCATCTATCCTCCAATAGCAGTTTATATCTTACCCTAACTGCCTCCTCTTTTAGTTTATAAACCTTCACCTCTCTCTTCCCTGATGCTTCTATTCTCCTTGTATCTCATCTACCTTTACTCTCAGTGTAGCTACAACTAGAAAGTGATCTGATATATCTGTGGCCCCTCTATAAACATGTACATCCTGAAGTCTACTCAACAGTCTTTTATCTACCAATACATAATCCAACAAACTACTGTCATTTCGCCCTACATCATATCTTGTATACTTATTTATCCTCTTTTTCTTAAAATATGTATTACCTATAACTAAACCCCTTTCTATACAAAGTTCAATCAAAGGGCTCCCATTATCATTTACACCTGGCACCCCAAACTTACCTACCACACCCTCTCTAAAAGTTTCTCCTACTTTAGCATTCAGGTCCCCTACCACAATTACTCTCTCACTTGGTTCAAAGGCTCCTATACATTCACTTAACATCTCTCAAAATCTCTCTCTCTCCTCTACATTCCTCTCTTCTCCAAGTGCATACACGCTTATTATGACCCACTTTTCGCATCCAACCTTTACTTTAATCCACATAATTCTTGAATTTACACACACACACACACACACACACATGTGTGTGTGTGTGTGAAAACTGCTTAACCCTTTATGACATACATCATCTAGATGGGACTAGTCAATAGGATCTAACACCACCTGCAATGACCTATGTCTCGTTATATTTTTTAATTCTTCTTTCAATGCACCGGCCATATCCCACCGAGGTAGGGTGGTCCAACAAAAGAAAAATTATCTTTTTAACTTTAGTAATGTATGTAGGAGAAAGGGTTACTAGCTCCTTCTCTCGACATGTTAGTTACCTCTTACGACAGCTTGGCTTTCGGAGGAAGAATTCTGTTTATATTTATCAATTATTAAGAAAATATGCAACAATCACAAAATAAAATTTGCACTTCCCCAGCATCAGAGTATCTTGGGATGTAAACTTACACATAGATGCAGGCGATGATGACACTGATGCCGGCCGTCAAGACGAACACCATCCCAGGGAAGACATTGAGAGTGGCGTTATAAACGAGCGTCATCAACGCTGAAGACATGATGGGAACTACTGCCTCTCCAGCACCCATGACAGCAAACACTGAGCCCAACTCATTCTTCTGGACGAGCTTGGAGAGGGCAGCTCGCGAGCACACCACCACCATGCCAGAACAAACTCCAACCACCGATGCTGGTACAAACAGACAATGTATTGAATGAGTTATATCAAAACTAATTATTGAACTACCATTTTAATTGCTACATGGTCTGTATAATCAAATAAAGAAACTGAAATGAAATTTTATGAGGCGCTTAGATGACTTTGAATATTATATATAGTACATATCTAACTTCCTTTGTCAAAATTGTATACTGTATGCTTAATGTAGCTACCGAGTCGGTTGTAGTAGAGGTGGCTATGTTAAGTTTACATTTGGAGAAGATTTTTGAGATGTGTTTCGTAATCAAGTTGTTGGGAAGGCCTACATATCTCTTGTCAGTGGCCTCAGATCTGGGCGAGTTGATGAAATGTCGATAGCAGTGAAAGTTGAAGATTACACAAATAACTCCCGGGTTATTTGTGTATTGTTCCAGTCACGATATTGTGCCTTTTTGTTCTTTTTGGTGAAGATATCTTAGAGGAAATACCATTCTTCTTCAAGCTTCGGCTGCCAAATCTAATCTATTTCAAAACAAAGTCAAGACAGTGAACTGTGAAGCACATATCACCACTGACCTAGGTAAAGGATCCACGACACCGGTGCTGTTGCTCGCAACACGAAGTTGAAGATCATGGAGACGGCGCCCACGAAGCCCAACATAGAATCTTTAATACCACAGTAGTAACTCAACACTGGTAGCAACAGTAATGTACCTGTAGAAGAGGATTCCACAGTGAGGGGAAGAACCATTCCAGTTGTCTCCTCTCGTGCCTTCAAACAATCTTTCAAAATAACTCAGGGCACTTTCGTCTTGCGATTTTCCCCCTTTTTATTATGCAAGTTGAGCAGTGAGAAGAGCAAATTTTGAGTTGTTTAGTTTGGTTTAGTTTTTTATTTAAGTGTCTTATAATACACAAACGTAGTTACAGTATGCATTAATAACAAAACTGTTATTTTGATTTGAATGATTCTAAATTGTATATAGGTCTAGGTTAGGTTAGGTAAGGTTCGTCAGGAAACAGGACAAGTGTTTCCTGCCGTGGGTCTTAGATGATGACCCGCTCTTGGAGCTGCTGGTCATCTGATCGAGGCCTTCCGCTGGCTTACTGGTCCACCCCTTTAAAAATTATGGTTATAGTTATAACCATTTGTTTTAATTACATATAGTAACTGTGAATATATACAAAACTGATTTTTATGTCTAGTGAATTTAATTCTTAAGAGTGAAGTCATGGGGTATGTACCAGGCCGGCAAGTAACATCTGAAAACAGAGGAATCAAAGATATAGCAAGGAGGGGGTGAAGCTATCCTCTTTTTTCCCATGCAGTTCATACAAATTCTATTATGATGTGGGAGGGGTGCCAGAGAGTATACAACGAGCATTGGCATATTTAATGGCAGATTTTGTGTACGTGTCGTGGGGTATGCGTGGGAATGGGGATTGGGTTGCGAGGAAACGAGTAATGGCAGCTACTTTTTTATAGGACGGTTTGCAGGAATAGGGAAATATATGGTTCGCGGTGGGAGGGAGCCTTCCCCGCAGGTTATCGTGGTTTAACTATTGGGATCTTACTAGCTTTGTAGTGGGGGGGGGGGTGTCATGGCTGGGGCACGGATTGAGAATGTCATCCGGGGTTCCAATGGGCTCGCCGTCAGGAGTGTGTACTCACCTATTTGTACTCACCTATTTGTGGTTGCAGGGGTCGAGTCCTAGCTCCTGGCCCCGCCTCTTCACCGGTTGCTACTAGGCCCTCTCTCTCCCCGCTCCATGAGCTTTATCAAACCTCGTCTTAAAACTGTGTATGGTTCCTGCCTCCACTACGTCATTTTCTAGGCTATTCCACTGCCTTACAACTCTATGACTGAAGAAATACTTCCTACTATCTCTCTGACTCATTTGTGTCTTCAACTTCCAATTGTGGCCTCTTGTTTCTGTGTCCCCTCCCTGGAACATCCTGTCTTTGTCCACCTTGTCTATTCCACGCAGTATTTTATATGTCGTTATCATGTCTCCCCTGACCCTCCTGTCCTCCAGTGTCGTCAGGCCGATTTCCCTTAATCTTTCTTCATAGGACATTCCCCTTAGCTCTGGAACTAACCTTGTCGCAAACCTTTGTACTTTCTCTAGTTTCTTGACGTGCTTTATCAAGTGCGGGTTCCAAACAGGTGCTGCATACTCCAGTATGGGCCTGACATACACGGTGTACAGTGTCTTGAATGATTCCTTACTAAGGTATCGGAATGCTGTTCTCAGGTTTGCCAGGCGCCCATATGCTGCAGCAGTTATCTGATTGATGTGTGCTTCCGGAGACATGCTCGGTGTTATACTCACCCCAAGATCTTTCTCCTTGAGTGAGGTTTGCAGTCTTTGGCCACCTAGCCTATACTCTGTCTGTGGTCTTCTGTGCCCTTCCCCTATCTTCATGACTTTGCATTTGGCAGGATTAAATTCGAGAAGCCATTTGCTGGACCAGGTGTCCAGTCTGTCCAGGTCTCTTTGAAGTCCTGCCTGGTCCTCATCAGATTTAATTCTCCTCATTAACTTCACATCATCTGCAAACAGGGACACTTCTGAGTCTAACCCTTCCGTCATGTCGTTCACATATACCAAAAATAGCACTGGTCCTAGGACCGACCCCTGTGGGACCCGCTCGTCACAGGTGCCCACTGTGATACATCATTACGTACCATGACTCGTTGTTGCCTCCCTGTCAGGTATTCTCTGATCCATTGCAGTGCCCTTCCTGTTATATGCGCCTGATGCTCTAGCTTCTGCACTAATCTCTTGTGAGGAACTGTGTCAAAGGCCTTCTTGCAGTCCAAGAAGATGCAATCAACCCACCCCTCTCTCTCTTGTCTTACTTCTGTTATTTTATCATAAAACTCCAGAAGGTTTGTGACACAGGATTTGCCTTCCGTGAATCCGTGCTGGTTGGCATTTATACTCCTGTTCCGTTCCAGGTGCTCCACCACTCTCCTCCTGATAATCTTCTCCATAATTTTGCATACTATACACGTGATGTACCGGGCCGCGGGGGCGTTGATCCCCGGAATAACCTCCAGGTAACCTCCAGGTGTGCAGATTTGGGACCATTCCTTCCAAGATTTTCCAAGTGTAGATTATGTGTGTGTGTGTGTGTGTGTGTGTGTGTGTGCGTGTGTGTGTGTGTGTGTGTGTGTGTGTGGTGTGTGGTGTGTGTGTGTGTGTGTGTGTGTGTGTGTGTGTGTGTGTGTGTGTGTGTGTGTGTGGTGTGATGTGATGTGGGCGTATGGCTTAGATGTAAACGAGGGAAGGTTCAGTGTGGTTAGTAGGTGTTAGGATGTACGTATGATGACAGCTGGATTAAGCGTGTGATCCTTTTAGGTAGTGAGGATTTTAGGTTTATACTTTTGCGTACGTGTCCCACGGGATGATGACTGCATTACTCTCTGTGTATTTTAACGCCTTGCTATGCTTGGTCATTTAAACCATCACACCTATGTAAGAGTGTTACCAGGAGGTTACCTGGAGGTTATTCCGGGGATCAACGCCCCCGCGGCCCGGTACATCACAAGGCCTCCCGATGGATCAGGGCCTGATCAACTAGGCTGTTACTGCGGGCCCGCACGCAGTCCAACGTACGAGCCACACCCCGGCTGATCCGGCACTAACTTTAGGTATCTGTCCAGCTCTCTTTTGAAGGCACCCAGGGGCTTATTGGAAATTTCCCCCTAATGCTTGATGGGAGGTTGTTGAACAGTTTTGGGCCCCGGACACTTATGGTGTTTTCCCTTAGTGTACCAGTGGCGCCCCTACTTTTTATTGGGGGCATTTTCCATCGCCTGCCCAGTCTTTTACTTTCGTGGGGAGTGATTTCTGTGTGCAGATTTGGGACCATTTCTTCCAAGATTTTCCAAGTGTAGATTTGATATATCTTCCCTCCTGCGTTCCAACGAGTACAAGTCAAGTGCTTCCAGCGTTTTCCCAGTAGTTAAGGTGCTTGACAGAACTTAAAACGTGCAGTAAAGGATCTCTGTCACTCTTTTAGATCTGCGATTTCACCTGCTTTGAATGGAGATGTTATTGTACAGCAGTATTCCAGCCTAGAGAGAACAAGTGATTGAAAAGGATCATTCATTGGCTTGGCATCTCTCGTTTTAAAAGTTCTCATTATCCATCCTATCATTTTCTTTGCACGTGCGATCGTGGCCTGTTGTGATCCTTAAAAGTGAGATCCTCAGCATTACTACTCCCAGGTCCCTTACATTATTTTTCCGCTCTACTGTATGGCCGGAGTCAGTAGTTTACTCTGTTCTAGTTATCTCCCCCGGGTATATATTATTTTTTAGAGGTATTGTACGCATATAGCGGGTAAGAATGCTTGGGTTGTGGTTTGTTGTGTTTTGTGATACCGTTGCGATGTGACAGGCTTATATGCTCATGTAAAGCTAGGAGAATAAGTGACAGGGTAATGTATACTGACGAGAGAAAAGTGGTGGTTGCCCAAATGAGGGGGAAGAGGGGGGGGGGGGTAAAGAGTGTTAAAGTGACTGACTTTGCAACTTGATAGTGTTTTTTTGTATACCCCTTTTGGGTTTTGTACAATGACCTTTGTGCAGTAAATAGGTTGTGATGGGGTAGTTTATTTACGTGTTCGCATTAGGTTACAGAAGCCTTTTGCTGTGATATTGACTTTTGTTGACAGCATATCAAATTCTTATATGATATTCAATTGTATGTGTCAAACGACGTGTTAATTCAGTAATTGGCCAGTGTGTTTGGCGCAGGTGTGTGTAGCTCCGGCGGGATTTCAGATACTTCTGTATGATTTAACCCAGGATAGGGGTTTGTTATTAGGAATGTGTTTTTCTTGTTACTTAATATATATGTGTGATGTCTTCTTAACTCTACATGAGTTCTGTTGTTTTGGTCCGCTGCACGTCACACTTATGTTGAAGTGAGACATGACAATCTTAAGTGTTTTTCATTATATTTATATATATATATTATATAAAATATATATTATATATATATATATATATATATATATATTTTATATATATATATATATATATATGGGTGACAGGTTGCTTGAGTGGTGTGTAGTGTGCTTGTAAATTTTATCGTTTTTCTGTGTCGGGTTTCTTCTCCTGTGTTACAACAACGTGTGTGTGTGATATTTTCTTTATGTACTTATTGTTCTCAGTATGTCTATTCTATATATTTTGTATTATGTTTGTCTGTAAAAAGATATGCTCTCAATAAAAAAAAAAAAATCTATTATGATGTATCATTTTATTGTTCTTTAGTTAATCCTGCACTGGAAGCGAACCTTATTTGGCCTTAGCATGGATTAATGACCCCTTTTTACTCTGGATAAACTTCAGACCAAAGTAACTATCTTTAGCAATAACGTGCACCTTAAACTACATCACATAAAGCTCTTCTAGGACTCAACCAGTAGCAGCGAGGGGCGTGTCTACGAGGCTCCAGATGGGTGTAGGTTTGATAGTTCCAGGAAAACTTCTTACGGGTGTAGAGGTAGTCGAAGTGCGCAGAACCTGAAGGTAAGGAAGACACCGTAGTTATAATAATTTTAATAATAATAATAATAATAAAATTTAAAAATAATAAATAATAATAATAAATAATAAAAAAATAATATCTTGATTTCTACAAGTACATGTACAAGTATATATGCCCCGTCGTATCAATGACATACTACAATATAA